GGAACGCGGCGGAACCGCGTTCCGGCACCTTTTTCCGGGCCGGCCGCACCGGAAATAGCCCCTCCCACACCGGAAATAGCCCCTCCCAAATTTTACTTGCATTCCTGTTCTCTAAAGGGGCGGTCCTAGGGTTTGATGAGGGCGTGGCCAGGTTTGAGTTCCGCCACCTTTTCTCCGAGAAAAAAAGCCCTGCTTAGTACATGTTGGTACTAGATTAATTACTGCTTGGCCATACACTCAGCCTAGCCTACCTCACTGGATATTATGAGGATTACTAAGTAAGTATATATGTTGTGTTTTTGAAGGAAATGTAAAACAAATGTAATAAAATAAACAAGCAAGCTAGCGAGATTAGCCATGATTTTTTTAAAAAATGGTGACTTTATGTAAATGAATACTTAAAAGAAATATATTTATAGTCTTATATTGTTTTCATTGTAATAGTAATTAAACTTACTATTTCCCAACATTTGCCAATGTATTTACATAGAAAGCCCACTGTCAGGCTGAAAAATCAATCATGATAAAGAATAAATGTTTCTCCATTAGTCCCCATAAGAATTAGGTCAAGCTAAGTTAGATATCTAAGTACATCATTTGGGACAAATTTCTGTGATAGAAACAAAAATATATCAGTATATATCTTGTTGGTTGTGTTCAATGGAAAACACTACAAAGCATTTCTAAAAACAAAGAAGCAAAGATATATGTGGACAATCTTCAGCTAAGTCAAAAGTTAATTGCTTATAAGCAATTAAAAGTTATACTGGACTTAGAAAAATATATTCAATTTATCTTTACATACGTTTGCATTATTGTCAACACTGATTTTCTCACTTGGCAGCTTGTGAAAAGCCAAGTTACAATAAAGTATAAAAATTACAAGCAATGTATAGTTGAAAACACCAAAGGTAATTTTAGAATTATCACACTGATGAAGAATATTAATTCCTCCTCATTTTTGCCACAGTTACTTTGAGATTTTTAATGGGAAATAGTATGTAAAGATTTAAAATAAATAAATTCCAGTTTAGAGATAAATATCTGAACCAGGTTTGACAGTGGCTGTCACAGAGTACATATCACCATGACTAATCCAATTTGCTATCATTAAGCACTATATTAGCAGTAATTATTGTGTAGAGCTCAGGGTTTTAATAATAGTAGCTAAAAGGCAGGAAAAAAAAATAGAGAGAGGAGAACTCTGAAATAAAATTATTTTGTTTTTCATAGAGAAAATATATTGGGGGTTTAACCTGTATTTATTATAGTTAGATGGGGTTTTTTCTTTTCTTTTTTTCCTTTCCTTTCCTTTTTCTTTTGTTAGAAGGCAAGGTGGGACCTAGGCGGGGGCCTTTTCTGCTGTGGCACTACACTTTACAATCTTCTTCCTTCTGAGGTGAGGTTGGCCTCATCACTTCTAATCTTGAAAGTCCCTCAAGACCTGGTTATTTCATACCAACTAGTGAGGTAACTCTGTTATTATTAATGTTCCTTTGTCTATTATTTCTTTATTTTAGCTTGTTCTTAAAGCTTAATTTTAAAAACCGATTCAAGGACTGATTCAAAGTATGAGTTAAGCAGCTCTGCTTTCTCCCTGTTGCCTGTTATTTCCTTGCCATCTTCTCTCTTTAGTGGGCCTACAGATTCTTTAACTTTTTTCTTGTTGTTAACATGTTGGAAGAAACTTTTTTTTATTATCCTTGATTTCTGTTGCTAATCTTTGTTTGTCCTGAGCCTTTGCTTTTCTGAGTTCATCTTTGCATGTTCTGGCTGTCTGCTGATAATCGGCCTTAGTTATGTGCCCCTCTTTCCATTTTTTGTATTTGTCCTTTTTGTCTTTCAGTTTTTCAGAGAGATCTTTGTGAAGCCATGCTGGTTTCTTCTTGAATTTCTTGTTTTTCTTTCTCAATGGGATTGTGCTGATATGGGTTTTTATGATTGCATTTTTCAGGGTTTCCCATACTTCTTGGGAATAGACACAGACATTAACAACATCTATAGCCTATGCAAAAGAGACTAACACCCAGCCCAAAAAGAAACAAAAAGACCCAAACATCTCTCCACCAGTAATCAGTACCCAGATCAGCACAGATTAACTCCAGACCAGCAATCAAGTAAACTATATCCCAATCAAGAAACTGCCAAAGAAGCCAGCAGCAAACAGCCCAACCAAAGAATCTCTAAGACCACCCTCACCAACACAGATAGGCAAGCCACCAGAATATAAACTGACAGTAAACTGCACTCCTTACTAGCACTGATGATGTTACCTAGTTGGGTAATGAAACATCTGCAAGAAAACAAGCAAGCTCAGAGAGCACCAAGGACCCCTCAACATTGGAACTGTCAACTATTGTTACAAGTTATTTGTCCACATCCTAATTCAAAAAATAAAAATCTCTGTAACTTGAATTCTACATCTCTGTGTGCTTACCATAGTATACAGAGCATTTTGCAATGGTTTCAAAGAATAGTTTTATGATACTTATTCAGAGGAAAAGAAGAACCCAATTACATCAGCTAGCAGCAAAAACAGTATAGGTAGTCCTTGACTTATAACAGTTCATCTAGTGACCGTTTGAATTCATGATGGCACTGAAAAAGTGACTTATGTCTGTTTTTCATACTTACAGCCATTGCAGCATCTCCATAATCACATGATTAAAATTCAGATGCTTGGCAACTGGCTCACATTTATGTCAGTTATGATAACTTTTTGTGACCTTCAGACAAACAAACCAATGGGAAAGCCAGATTCATTTAACAGCCATGTTAATAACTTAATAACTGCAGTGGTTCACTTAAAAATGTGGCAACAAAGGCCATAAAATGGGGCAAAACTCACTTTAAAAAGTCTCAATTAGCAACAGAAATTTTGGGCTTAACTGTGGTTGTGAGGACTTCCCATATACAACTTTAGAGAATTCTTCCTCATATCTTGAATAAAACAGAAACTGCAAATATGACTGTAGAAAATTCTCAGGTATCTGAAACAATGATTACTTATAATTCCATTGGAAAAAAGTTAAAGTTGAGTATTATATGGTTGGAGCTACACAGTATATACCTTCCAAAGCACTTTGAATGTATTGTTTATCAGAATGGTAATCAGTTCAAGAGCAGTATCTTTTAATAACTTTGTGGATTCTAAAGATCTTGTGATTTAATAGGGTTCTGTAAAATTATTTCAAGCTAGATATAATCCAGCAAGAAACTGATCTACATGTTACCAAATATCAATTTTTCTTAAGTCTACGTTGCCAAAAAATCATGATATTTCATATTTTGAGGGATTCATACACCAGTCTTCTCAACCAACAATAAACACATTAGTAGAGTTTCAGTGTACAAAGTCATTATTTATCATTTGTATACTCTGTGTTGAAATAAAAGAAACTAGGATAATACTCACAATAACTGCAAAGATATAAGCCCATCAAAAAGGCCCTTGGGAATCTCTGTGATCTTATTTCCATAAAGCACTCTGAAAAAAAATGAAAGGACAAAATAAACAGTATTCTCAAATCCAATGCTTATGAAGAATTGTCTCTTTAAACACAAGCTCTACTCTCCACATAAAAGGTGGTATACACCTTTACAGCAATGTAAGCAATATTAAAATAAGACTTCCAAATAAATAAGATGTTTAAAACAGACTTCTGGGTTGAAAATATTTTTCAGAATTTACTGAGGTTTTCTTTTAAAGTAATACACAATATATTTAAAAGTCTGAATGTGATACAGAATTGTCATGAAATTTCCAGTGAATGCATTCATTATTACAGCCTTATAGAATTATGTTTGTTCAGGACCACCATTTGGTTTATCAATTGGATTATGTGGGACTGTTGCAAATCTCCTTGTTGTATCCCATTTTACTTGTCTTCAACTGTCCATCAGAGGAAATTAGCTGAAGTTGGGTCAGTTCATAATATATTATAAAACTGAAGAAATGTTTGCAAAGCTGGAGTATCACTTACTGTTTGGGGTTATTCAAAAAGGCACACCCTTAAAATCTTAAACCCAAAGGAATGCACACATACCACCTTCTTTAGTTTGAATCAGCATTGGAAGGAACATCTTTTCATAATTGTACCATTTCAAAATAAGCAGCAGCATTATGTTTCCGTTTCATGAAGTGCCAGTCCTAACTCTGTTTATTCAGACATAATCCCAATAGCTTCAGTTGGGTTTAAAATTGCACTATTTTAGAGTACTTCCACTTTTGCCAAAACAAATATTAGGATTAAAAATTCAAGTAAAGCATGAACACCTTTGAGAGATTTTCTTTTGACATTAAGATCCTAGGATGTGTCTTGTTGAAGTAACATTTCCTAGCCAAGAAAGGATTGCTTGTCTTCTTTTGCGTTGCACATATTTACCAGTGCACAACTAATTGGCTGGCAAAGCTATGTACTCTATGTACTCCCCAGAACATTTGAATGCATCAGAATCAGAGAACAATTATTAGTATTTGCCTGCTGCTCCCTATATATTGATATATTTGTGCATCATACCAGTTAATATAACCTAAAATTCATCAGTTTTTCCAGCTAACTTTATTTTATTATTTGGAGGCATTTACAAATACCTTATTTAAAAGTTAGATTAGCATATCCTCAAACCATTTATTCAAGCTTTTAAAGACCCATAAATACAGACAACAGTAGTAAAAGCTTGACAGGCTTGTACATTCTGAAGCTAAGCAAAAGCCTGTTGGGGAACATTGGATATTTGTAAAGTCCAGAATAAAGGTTATATTTTTGGAATAGAATAAATGAAACAAGCCCAGTCATTCAAGGTAAAAAATATTACCACAATAGGATACATTACATTCATTCAACAGGATCTAATATTCATCATTCATTCAGTGATAATGTAAATGGGAAAGACACACCAAATACTAAGCATTTGAAGCCAACCTAATCTAAGTTTTAAAAATTGGCCAATAGATAGACCTGTTCTATAGAATGAACCTGCATTTTACCATTACATGAACAAGTTGAAGTAAGGCAGAGTAGAAACTTGAGCTGAGAGGCTGAGATAACGAGTTTGCTGAGTGAAATTCCCACAAATATTCACTACTTTGACCATTTAAATCTTTAGGAACAGTATTACATTATCACTGAAGTTGGTAGGCTTCTAGTTCTGTCTTCGGTGGTCACAGGATTATCCAAAACAAACTTAATCATAAAGGCACAAAGAAATACAGAGTTAGATATTTTTATTTCAATATAAATCTCTTGGGACATAATGCCCTAGCTGCATCTATCTGTACCTTCCTATAACAGACTATAGAAAGTACCAATTTTCTTGGCTGGTTAAAGCATACAGATAATTAGAGAAATGGTCTGGAAACTAGCAATCCGCCGTATGAAGGTAACTATCTTCCAGTCTGTTCTATTCTGTTCCAAAGGGCGGCGCTAACAATAAGCATTTTTGTTATAAACTATTACAGTAAAATTGACTGAGAGCTGAAAAGCAAATATGTGTTGTGTTCTTCATAAATTTGGTTCAGTAATTGTGATTCAATTTTACTGTTGCAATTCAAGATACTGTTTTAAATATCAAATATGTTGGAGATAGGATATTTTTTTAAATAGCTGTAAAACTACACTTTGCAGAAAAAAAAATCCCAAAGATTTTAATAAGACATGCACACACAAGCACACGTAAAGAAAAATAAATATTGAATGAAAACATACATTTAATTTTGAATGCTGAGCTCATTAATATTTTATTTTATTCTTTCAATTGTTTTGCATCCATCTTTACACAAAGGGAAATAAACAGGCCAACCTATCAAAAATAGTACTGTAAAACAGGGGTCCCCCAAAACCAGTCTGTGGACCAGTACCGGGCTGCGGCAGACCAGCAATTGGTCCGCACAAACAAGCAAAGCCTCATCCACGGGATGCAGGCAGCACATAAAACCACACACCCTCTGGTCTGTGGAAAAACCTCTATCCACGGAGCTGGTTCCTGGTGCCCAAAAGGTTGGGGACCTCTGCTGTAAAAAACAGATTAGAAACACAAGTTAAAATAGGCAAGAAAATGGTAAGTGAGCACCTGTCCACCCTAGAAGAGTTCAAATCACTAAGACCAGATGGATTACATCCCAAGGTTCTGAAGGAACTGGCAGATGATCTCAGAACCACTGAACTATCTTTCAAAGATCCTGGAGCACTGGGGAACTACCAGAGGACTGGAAAAGAGCTGATGTAGTTTACATCTTCAAAAAAGGGAAACAAATGGATCCAGGAAACTACAGATCTATCAGCCTAACCTCAATACCTGGGAAGATTCTGGAAAAGATAAGCAATGAATCAGAGAACACCTAGAGGCAAACAAACTCATAACAAAAAGCCAACATGCGTTTGTCAAAAACAGATCATGCCAGACAAGTCTTATTGCATTCTTTGATCAGGTGACAAAATTATTGGACCAGAGGAATGCTGTGGATATAATTTACTTGGACTTCAGTAAGGCATTTGATAAAGTAGACCACAACCTAATACTTGATAAGATAGAAAAAATGTGGGTTAGACAGCATCACCACCAGATGGATTCGTAGCAGGCTGACCGGCCATACTCAGTGTGTGGTCCTCAATGGAACAGCATCTACATGGAGGGAAGTGTGTAGTGGGGTACCCCAGTGCTCTGTTCTGGGCCCAGTGCTCTTCAACATCTTCATCAAATATTTGGATGAGGAGATAGATGGGGAACTCATCAAATTTGCAGACAACACCAAGCTGGCAGAAATAGCCAACACTCCAGCAGATAGGCTTAAGATACAGAAGGATCTTGACAGACTTGAACATTGTGCACTATCTAACAAAATGAAATTCAATGATGAAAAAAGTAAGATTCTACATTTAGGCAAGAAAAACCAAATGCACAGATATAGTATAGGTGGTACCTTGCTCAATAGTAGTAACTGTGAGAGGGATCTCGGAGTCCTAGTGGACAATCACTTAAATATGAGCCAGCAATGGGGTGCAGCTGCCAAAAAGCCAACACAGTGCTAGGCTGAATTAACAGAGGGATAGAATCAAGATCATGTGAAGTGTTAATATCACTTAATAATGCCTTGGTAAGGCCACACTTGGAATACTGCATCCAGTTTTGGTCACCACGATGTAAAAAGATGTTGAGACTCTAGAAAGAGTACAGAGAAGAGCAACAAAGATGATTAGGGGACTGGAGGTTAGAACATATAAAGAATGGTTGCTGGAATTGGGTATGTCTAGTTTAATGAAGAGAAGGACAAGGGGGGACATGATAGCAGTGTTCCAATATCTCAGGGGTTGCCACAAAGAAGAGGGACTCAAGCTATTCTCCAAAGCACCTGAAGGCAGGACAAGAAGCAACGGATGGAAACTAATCAAGGAGAGAAGCAACCTAGAACTAAGGAGAAAATTCCTGACAGTTAGAACAATTAATCAGTGGAACAACCTGCCTCCAGAAGTTGTGAATGCTCCAATACTGGAAGTTTTAAAGAAGAGACTGGAGAGCCATTTGTCTGAAATGGTGTAGGGTTTCCTGCCTAAGCAGGGGGTTGGACTAGAAGTCCTCCAAGATTCCTTCCAACTCTATTGTTATTGTTGTTGTTGTTGTTGTTGTTGTTGTTGTTGTTATTATTATTATTATTATTATTATTATTATTATTATTATTATTATTATTATTATTATTATTATTATTATTATTATTATTATTCCTGAGAAGTTTAACAAAAAAGCTTTGGGTTTTACCACGACTGAAACATAATTTAAAAGATAGCTTTCTTACTTAATCTGCAGTGTCTCTAGCTTTCAATTCCAAATGAAATCTCAGAATATAATACCATTAGACAACTCTCTCATAGCACTTTTTCATATTAGAAACTGTGGGCTGCCATGTGTAAAGAAAAAAGAAACCCAGCACCCGTCACTATTCTGCAAGAATACAGGAAGCTCATTAAACACTATTAAAAATATTTAAACAGAAATTTATTCCCCACTCCCACTCCTTAAAATTAAGGAGAAACAGAAGCTTGTTTCACGCAGAGGAAAGATTTTTTAAAAGTTAACAATAGACCCCAGCCCAGTATTAATTCAGATATGCAAATACAATCTGAGGGCTGAGTTTAGGAATAATTTTTATCATATAATTTATTGTTTGACACATTAACTAAAAACGATTACACTGCTCCAGAAGAGCTTAATATGGAGCCAAAGCAACATAACAGGACTTATTGGATGTAATTCAGATGTGCTACCAGGTGCTTTTATTTACTTCAGCATGCAAGCAAGCCTCACTGCTAAATTGTAAAATTCTGCCTTAAACATTCAAAATGTAAAAATGAAAATGCTCTATTCATTAGAGAGGAACTATGAAAATGCAAACGAAAGGGAAAACATTCAGATGCAAATGTGGCAATCTCTAGCATACATAATAGGATTTTACAACATCAAGGTCCTTATGTTGGCTTTTCATAGACAGATGCATTGGCATAAATATTTAGGATTGGAGTGCCAACGTACTGAGCTCTAGGATTGTTGCCATATTATAATATTGTGTTTATTTACATTTTTTTGTGGCATTTAAATTAAACATTTTCCCCAAATAATCATAGACTTAAACATATAATCTACTTTTTGCTTTCACTGGAAAATATAGCAATAGTTTAGAAGCTATCTTACATAAACTTCCTATTGTTATTTGGCCAACTACTGATAATAGGACAATTACACTGTGTTGTAAAAAGAAAATTGTATTACTTATATCAGCATATTACACACTATATTTCAATAGTGTGTAATAATATAACATAAAACATAAGGATTCATAACATGAAACAATAAAACAACAATTTTAAAGAAATCTTTAAAAACTGAGCAAAACAGCAAGGATTCCATGGTAGAGAGGATATGAAAAGGATATGAATAAACTAAAAAACAAAGAAGAAAACTTTTTGACACCTGTTATTTACTTCTTGCAAAGAATAGAGTTCCATAAAAGATAGAATTTGAATAAGATCTTATTGGATAGTCTGAACATAATGATGGCCTTAAAGCTTCTTAACTAAATTAATTCAAAACTGATTTTGAAAATATATTTAGTACTAATTCACGCTCAATAAATATATTTTCTAGGTTCAGTTTGTTCTTGATCTCTGGACATTCTGGAAAAGATAACTTGTTTATAGTAATTCATGCATTGTGAACATCAAGTTTGAATTACTGCAATGCATTGCATGTGGGTTTTCCCCTGCAGTAGATCTAGGAATTGTGGCTAGTGGAAAATGCTGGAGCATTTTCTGAAGCAGGTAACCTTTTGCAAACAACTTACAATATATCAACTTCAATGTATAACGTTTAAACCTCAACATCTAAAGGAGTGTTTTCCTTCTTATGTATATGCCTGTTAAATAATACTGGCACCAGCTTAAGAATTTCCTGTTTACCTATTCATTTATTTAAACTGGCTCTGCTGTTAACTCTGAATTAATTTGATACTATCAAATCAATCAAGTCTTAGTTTTTAAACTTTTCATGATGTATTATTTTAAGATTGTTTTAACTTGAATTATTTATTTTTAATCAATATACTAAAGCTCTCATTGTCGTAACCTTTAACTGCATCATAGGCAAAAAAAATTCTAAACCGAGCTTACTCAAATAGGCTAACATTTAAAAATGTGGCCAAAATGTGGAACTCATGACTCTCATGGAATTGAAATTGGGAAATTTTTATAAAACATTTTCTGTCATAAAATTGTCATAAATAGTTTATGACATAATACAACATGTCATAAAACATTTGTGTGCTGATTTTTTTACTATTCAGGATGGTTATTTTCAACTGAAAATATCTATCTGAATACACCCTAACTTTGCCAATGAAGGCAGTACATTAGAAGTTCTGTTATGGTTGAAGGCATTGAGGATTCTGGTAAGGAAATATCTGAAGGGATGACCAAGGGGTGAGGGTTGTCTAGCTCCTTAACTGTTTAATGTTTTCTCTGCTGTTGCTTTATTTTTTAAAACTGAAAACAACAAACAAATAACGAATAAATTACTTGAATCTTCTGATATTAGCTTATGACCTTTTAAAGCTATCTTAATTATAATGCTATTTATTATGTGTAGATGAGCTAAAATACTGCTTTAAGATCTAATATCTCATTGTGCTTGCATCATTAATTATTTGTTATTAGGGCATACTGCAGCCCAACCATCTTTTTGAGAAAGCAATAATACATAGAGTGGTTTCAATGAACTAGGCATATCATTATCAAATTAAATCTCAGTTTATTTTCCCAAAACCAAATTCAGATTTAGGTTCCATTTAGTAACATGCAGTAAATTGCTGTATGTTAATATGATCTTTAATATCCAGGGAAATAAAAATACAGTGTGACTTGATGTTACAGTGGCTTAATAATTAACCTTCATACTGTGTTCATCTATAAAAGGAATCTAGATTTGCACAAACAATGGCACCTTCAACTCAGATCAATTTCAATTAAACAAAGGTTAGACCTTCCTACAAGGAGAACATTACACAAGGAAAATGAAAGCATAACAGACCAATATTTAATCCATTTAATCCAGTCTTTTTTAAAAAAAACTCCCCCTCAAGGTTATTCTGTACTTACAGAGAGGTGAGTAATTTCAGTCCATGAAAAGCATCTGGTGCAATATCTGATATCTGATTCTTGCTGATATCACTGCAAAAAGATATAAGAGAAGACAAGACACACATTTAAAAAAAACAAAAAACAAAACCTCCTACACTTCTGAAAACTATTTATGCTTAAATACCTCTGGCACCCACTTTAGCTCCATTGAAATTATTGTGTATTATTGTTGATTATGTTGTTCACTGAAAAGATCATGAACTGTAGAAGGTAATCTGGGTTCACTCCAATGAGGCAACAATTCTCACTGAAGTGAAATACATTTCCCTCAAAAATGCTTTTTTGCTTAAACTTTTGGTGAAGCAAAGAATCCTTTGAAACCTGGCACAGCCCTAATGAATAGAAGTAATATAGTCACTTTTTGAAGATACAGTAGCACCACCTTCCAAAAAGGCCATACTATTCAGCTAACTTTTTTGTGTGGTTCTGTACTGTCATTTTATGCATAAGCAATATATTTTACCATATCAAAGCATTTGAAGTCAAGCTGTATAGCTATTTATTATCACTTAAAATACCTATGGCTATTCCAATCTGAATTTCACTCTCACATTTTTCCTCCCTTTCTAACCTAATATTATTGTTGTGGTCTTCACTTGTATTATACTGTTGACAGAAGCTCCAGCATCTCTGATCAGTCTGAGCTTCTCCCTTGGGATTTAAATTATTGAACTTTCCTTCTGCTTTATATGGAAAAGTCTTACAAGAAAGTGTTACTGTGCTGAAGGCAAAAAAAGAAAAAAGAAAAGAAAAGAAACAGCACTGGCTGCCTCACACATTTAATTACTCAATGTGAACTTAATAAGAACACTGAATATCTCAAACTGATTCTCAGGGATAGCAGAAATTCTTTGATGCTGGATGTGCACAACAATATGTATTGAACTTATAATAAACAAACTCAACTGTAAACAATTGGGATTCTCCAAGTTAAAATACCACACACTGAAACTTTGGAAAGGACAGTACAAACTCAATTTTGCTTTCATTCACAGTCCTAGCAAATCTATGGTAACAGAGTTGCAAGATATTTTAATTTGCTTACATGTAACAACAGAACATTTAATAAGATGTCCAATGCACAGACTGGTCCAGATTTTGTTTTTTTGTTTTTTGGGAGTATCTTCCATTCCTTAGGGCTGAGTATGAGAGCAAGATTCTTGAGTCTATCTAGCCTACCACATTCTCTCTTGAAATCTTGGATCTTTTGAGACACATACTGTGGAAATGGTGAATACATTTTTGCACAATAAAATGGAGGCAGTGTATGTTCATTCTTGGACAATCTCTCACTGGATCCAGAAGATTATGTCAATTACTGCTCAGCTTTAAATGTCCCTTTTTGAAACAAGATGCATAATACAATAGATCTATACAACTATACCTATTCTTAGAATGCACTAATTATTTTTACTTTTTTCCATCTGGCTTCAGCTATGGATTTGCAACAAAATCAGCTTTCATAATAGGTGACCTGCAGCAGACAGGCAGAGGCCCTTGAATCAATATTCTGCTCAAATTCTGAGCAGCTTTAGTTATCTTCACCCACATATTCTCTTTGAGTGTTCCAATGACCTGAGAATTAGGGAATTCTGATACAGTGGTTCTCTCCTAAATTTTTTTGATAACTACTGTTTTATACCTAGTACTGTTCATATGAAGCCACTGGGAAGGGTATAAGGGGTTTGGCAGCTAATGACACTCAGCTCGACATAATATGCATGTTCTGAACCAGTGTCTAGATACAGTAATGGTGTACATGGGAGCAAATAAAGCTAAACAATGGAGAGTTTGGGAGTTCAGGGGATAAGAACTGAGTTTGTTCTCAGTTGCACTGCATTCCCTCAGGAAAAACAGTCATTGGAAGGAATGCCTATTACCAGCTTCATATATAATGACAACTGTACTCTTTCATGAGATAGTTTTTCACTGTTGTTCATATATTCAAGTGCAGTGTACTTGGGCTACCATTGTGTTTGGTCTGAAAACCAACTGATGTAGAATGTAGCAGCCAGATAACTGAGTGAAACATCTAAATGTATCCACATTACATCAGTTTTGATGCAATTACACACATGGCCCCTTTTTGCCCTATTGAGTGCTCTTCACTCTGATATCCATGTGGTACCCACTAAAGATGTTTTGCTTCATCCTGGATGTCCACTATAAAATGTATGAATTAACATGTAGTCCTATGCATTCTGCCACCACATTCATTGACACTCATTTTCAAAAAAGTGACTTTAGTACTGACTATATTTTCTTCATTTAAAAAATAAAGGGTACCTCTGTAATTTCTTGAATATTTTTCATGACCCTCAGCTATATATTTTAGTTTCCAAATAAAATTTCAGCAGATCTGTAATAACACTTTTATGCTTTGCTCTTTTTACTAAACTCCCTTTTTACTACAAATGTAAATTTAGAGTAATTATACTGAAATTGTCAAGTGTTTTCAACACCCACATTAGCATCAATATTAAAAAAAACCATGCTGTTTTTGAAAATTGAACTTATTTCCTATCAAACTAAATAAAAATACTATTACTGCAAGCAAACTGTACTTGGATGATTTTTATTTCCAAGTATAAAGAACTTACTTAAGTCCATTTATTAATGAAATAATACTTAAAACAATTTGTGGATAGTACAGAAAGAATAGAATAGCTGATTGTATTGGTTTAATTGACATGTAGTATTAGATGCACTGCCTCCATTGCATTAAGAAGACACCCCCATCTTAATTCCTGCTCGGCAAAATTTATGAGTTTAAATATAAATACATTAAATGGATTTAATTTTTGCATGAGCAGTTTCTATTTACTTCTATATACTTCTATTCTACTGTTTCATACTAGTTTGTCTCAAAGAGTGAACTTCTAGAAATACAAGTTTCACTGCCTACTTCTCCAAGCTTGTTTCATGAGATGGAAAAAACTTGGGGCAAATTTGAGTAAAAGTGGGCATTAAGGGGAGAACAGGAAGGGCAATCAGCCCATTTTTAATTACTTAGGAAATCAGCTTACCTTGAGAAAGTAAAAGCTAGAAGAATATGTACAAGAATTGGTGTCAAATTCAAGAATTCCACACATAATTTTGTGTAAATATGGAAGTCTGGAAAACTTGTGGAAAAATTAGAACTTTGTCTACATGGCTTTCTCAAGGAATGGCAAAATATACTGAAAACAGTAAGCATATCAGGACATTTAACTTACATTCTTTTAAGTTTCTTGTATTGAGAGAAGGCTCCAGGAGGAATGGCTTTTATGGAATTCTGCTCTAAACGGCTGAAAAAAAGAAGAAGTATTATTGCCAAACTTACAAAGATACACGAAAAATCCTTGGTATTTAATTTTTATTATTTATATAAATTTTGCCAAGATAAAACTTCTTTTGAAAATGATATTTAAGCAAAACACAAATCTGACGTAAAAGTAAAGAATCACAAAATATGGATTTAATATTATTAATAGCAGAATGAGAAACATTATAATAAGAAGCAGGAGTAGCATGTGTGGTAAATTATACCATGTGCTTTCTATAAATGGTAATAGAGGCATAATAGATTTTCTCAACAAAATCCAAGGAAATGTTGTGTCTTTCTAGAGCAGATCTAGGGTGAGCAATGAGTATATCAGAGGAACACAGGAAACAAAGGTCCTGTTACAGAAAGATATTTCTACTTGTTCAGCATTACAGTTAAGACAGAAAGTTAAATAGAATATTAGATATTTAGCATATTGGAGTATACGATCTCAAGGTCCTCTCAGGCCTTACATTCTATGATTCTGAGATCATTATAAAACTCAAAAGGATAATCTTTAATATATTCCATAATACTTTGTAAACAACTTTAAATAGTTTTTTAGAACTGTACAATAGACTTTTGAAAGATATCCTTGAAAATATCTCACAGGCCTACAGTTCTGTGATCTGTTTTGATATACTAAGAATCAGCTTTTTTTTTTTAACCTTTGGGAGTTTATTTTTAAGACTTCAACAACTGTTCAGATCAAGTGACAAGAACAATTTCCTTCACTGGCTCTAATAAAATTGAAAATACTGCAGAGAACACAGAGAAGCTTGATAGATTCAGAGATATTCTGAACATGCTATAAGAGCAAGTCCCTTTATATTCTGGCTTTATTATTGTCTTTTATATAACTTTTGCTATCTGGACTAGACTTTCAACAAATCAATAAAAATAGCCAGCAAGAAAAAAAAAAGATGTACTAAAAGCTAACAAATGATATTCTAGCAATAAAAATCCCAATATATCCTGTACAAGTCTATTTCAAGGTTCACCATTTTTGTTATCACTCTATGAGTATTAGAACACTACATCAAAACAATAAGACATCATTGTGTGTGTGTTTATGTGTGTATATGTGTAGAGACACAGAAACGGATTCTGCCTTAAAGCCGGGTCATTAATTGGTAGTAATAGAACTGCATGCCATGTACTGTATTGATAAATATATGTTATTAATATATGCATGTCATTTATATAGGAAAAATAATATAGATAATATAGATACAGAAAGACACATTATTTCATACAGAAATAAAACAATAGTATGGATATATAAATAAATACATTCCTGGTAGTGCCTGTTATAATAATATTTAAATATGAAATTATGTTCCCTTTGGTGACCTGTTTCCCAGCAAAGATCTGGTGATTTCAGATTTTAAATATGTTATTTAATTTCACAGAGCCACCAATCATAAAGCCACATGAACTGATAACTGCCACATCAATGGATGTGATGCATGAGTGAATACAAAACTGAGTGAATATAAAGAATAAAAATTCACTTCTGGAACAATCTCTCTCTGATATATGAGTTTGTTTACCAGAAATATGAAGTATAGTTTTAAAAATGATTGAAATCATGTATGATATTCAAGATATAGATAAATCACCAATCTCCGTCAATAACTTTTTCATATTTTAATGTTCGTATTTGTATAGAATATCATTGCTTTATAGACATACTAGTTGATTTACAACAAATAATTTACATAATGCTAGAATCAAGCCAGTTAAGCCTTTTCTTATAGCTCAATATTTATATATTCATCAAATAAGAAATAACTTGGCTTCCTACCGTACTGTTGTCAACTGTAAACATATTTGTTAATTGATTAATAGAAGGTGGTTGATCAATGTTTACTAAGCTGTAAAACAAAATCAATCTATTGGTAGGTTGATGATGTAGAGGAACAGTAAATCCTTTCCCTGAACAACTGAATGTGCTTGAATATCCATGAATGTTGATTTTGATAGAAAAGAAAATATCTGGACTGAGGTATAGAAAATGATTTTTTGAGCATCTTTTAGTTTCTACTGCTTGGAGGATGACATGCCTCCCTGACTAGAACTTTCAGCAGCATTTTCTTTAAGGTTTTGCTTAGAATTGAAAATAAGCATTGGATAAGTTCATACTTTATCACGCTACACTGTCTAAATTGAACTGTTATGCTTCATAATTACGCTCTATAGCTTGATATGGTTTGTGAGCCCACAAAGTACATATTTCACTGTAGGTTTCCCAAAAGAATAAATTTAAGATTTTGTTAAAGCTAGAATCCTAAACATAGACTGTCTAGCAGTCTCACCCAGAAAGGACATTAGGAAAGTAACTAGTAACTATAACCTTTTATGGATTGGTTGCTGATGCCCATACATCAGGTTTTTGGATTTGTGATTGGATAAAGGGGGGGGGGAGGATATGGGAAGAAGTGAATTATGTGTATAATCATATAGTAGGAATGAATAAAATAATTTGCTTGAACTTGTTACGAGAAGGATAAGGAGTTTTTTAAAAATATTTTTTGCTTCCTTTGTTCTTTTTCTTCCTTCTGTTCTTTTTCTTTGTACTTTGTATTTCCTTTTTTAAATATTTTTTATTCTTATTTCTGAGCTCAGCTTGCATTATTGTTTAGTGTTGCAAAAATTTTGCAAAATGTTTCATTGAAAATGTTTTTAAAAATTGACTGAGTTTCTGATCTATTTACCAGAAAGATGTGCTGAGAGTCATCATGAGTGCCTTCCCCTGAGACCAGATTTCCACTATATTTGTCCAAAGTTGGTGGGAATATGCCAGGTGAGAGGCCACAAAAAGAAGACAGAAGGAAAAAACAACACCTGCTAATGTATTTTTAAAGAATCTCTCTCTTCTTGAAGTGAGATGGATCTTGAAAGTAAAAGTCATGATGGAATCACTGGGAGCTTTCCATGGTGCTGCTTTGTCTTGTGAAGTTAATGCAGAAGAATCAAGTTGCAACTTCTTTTGGGACATTCAAATGTTATATTACCTGTCTTTGTGTGTATGTATTTATATGTGCACACATTCAAGAAATAGAGACACGCATGTACAATTGGCATTTCTTAAGATTTTCACAAACTGGGAAAAGTCATTAAGCAAATAAGCAGCTAATTTTTCATATTGTTTGAAAAGACATAATTAATACCACAACAAGATTAATAAAACAAATCAGAGAACAGATTACTCACTGTGGAAAAAAACCAATCAAAACACATTTTTCTATGCAATCACCTTTAGTAGATAACTGCTAGTTAGGATAGTATCACTTAACTGTTGCATTTTTTTCTGGCAATAAGGTTAAACATTGAGGCAGAAAATATGAAAATATCAAGCAAAAATTCACATTATACCACATTCTTGCCAATTAAATCAGAGATGCTCAGTACTGGATATGAACAACTGATTCTGACAATCCTTTTTTTTTTTTTATCAAACACTGCTTTTTCAAAGAAGGCATGTGACTAGTAGATTTTTAATTAACTAGAAAACAATAACAAACATAACTTTTCATGAAGTTTAGTTCCTTCCATATGCTTCTATAAGTTATAAGGATGTCATTCTTTAAGTACTGAACAAATTAAAATACCAATAATCAATTGCACTAAATGCAAATAGTATAACATATGAAAGCAGCAATAGCTATGTCCTTTTAAATCTGCCCATTAAAATAACTAGTTATAGCACTAGGGATTTCTGTTTTGGGATATTATTCTATATGATAAGCATCTAGAGCTTTATATCTGGTGCACCTAGTAGACAATTTATATAAATCAATATTGTGATAGTAATAAAAATTGGGGGAATCATTCTGTATCCAACTTAATGTGATTGTTTGATTGATTTCTTAATATAATGATCAATTGTGTTGTTTTTTTTAAAGGACAAAATAGTTTGGAGTTGAAATGTCAACACTCTGTTGTTCAATTTTACAAAAAAATGTTTTTGATAGTCATCAAAGCTTTTGTGTGGTCATAAGAACACCTGTATTTCTAGGGTCTGTTAGCTGATGGGAAAAAATAAAGCAAGCAAAAAGAAGGAATAAATGAACAAATTTCTAAACAGATAGGAAATTTTAAAAAAATGAAGTTTCTTCAGAGATCTCTGCTGGTAATAGTCTGTTTAAACTTGTTCATAAATTATCTTTGCAGGAAAGTAGTGCACAAGCTTGTGAATGATATTTAGGGTGGAAAAGCTTGAAAAACTCTAGAATAGGGGTGTCAAATTGGCAGCTTGGGGACCAGATGTGTCACATGCAGGCCATGCCCACCTCGGCTCCACAAAGGCAAAAAACGTTGTGATATGTCACAATATGTCACGTGACGCGATCGAGTTTGACACCCGTGGTCTAGAACAACCTCTTTAAACTGAGTAAAAAGTCAACCAAATGGCAAACTCAGTTCAATTTCAGTAAGTGATAGAAGAGGTTTCTTTAAGCCTGCAAAAGAGAATGGATGTTTGAAAACAAAACAACCCAGGATATAAACAGGTCCCCATAAATGGTCTACTTAACTGAGGGTCTACTATATCTATTTTTCTTTTCATTCATTTAATTAATCCTTTTATTTCATTTACCATTTATTTCACTTATATTTCAGCTTGCTATCTTCTGTATGCCATGATTGTTACTGGTATAGCTGAGAGCTATTGATCTTTGCTAGCCATCATAGCTTTGGTCAATTGAATCTTGTGCAATGGCAAGACAAGGAATGGAATTTAGGTCAAGTGCCTGAAAACCTGTGATTTACTAACAAGTTAATCCCATTTCTATCATTGTTTTCTTTAATAAGTCATTTTGAATTTAATCCTTAAAAATAAGCAATATAATTGTTTTTAGGTCAACCCTAAGCATCAATTAAATCATTGATTTTATTTACCAGTGAGGGATTCACACATACGTATTTAACATTTTAGGATGTCATTTTGCAAAGTTTGAAAACTCATTATATAACTGGTCACCAATACCTGCTTTCAACTCTACATGGGATTAAATCAAAGAAACTGACTTTGACATTTATTATCCCATGTTATTATAAAAGCATGCTGTGCAATAGATGAATATAATCCAAAAAGATAACTGTCTTATGTTCCAGAGAAAAACCCACAAATTTCTATTACTTTTAAAATAAAAAGAATGAGAGGCCCTGAAGTCTATATGTTTTAAGAAATGAAACATGCACACACACACATACACACTAATTATACAGATATTCCAATTAATGCTAGTTATTTTGACAGATTTGTCTCTCTGTTTTGTCTTTCTCTCAAAAAGCAGGATAATCTTGTTTGCAACAGTGATACTTATCACTATAGAAAAAATCAAGAACATGAAAAGCAAGTTGAAGATCTAACCTAAAATTAGTGTTATACTCTTATATTCCCTAATCCATGAAAATAAATCTGGGTGAAAATACTAAAAATGTATGAATTTACATGCATTTTTAGGACTTTCCCCAACTTTATTTTCATGGATTAGGGAATATAAGAATATAACATTGAATTTAGTTTAGATCTTCAGCTCGCTTTTCATGTACTTGATTTTCTTTGTAAATATAATACTGTTGCATGTAAATGCATGTAAATTCATTTTTTAGTATTAAGACTATTATATTTTGCTTTTTTGTTTAATATCAATGCAGTTAATAAGCAAATAACATAACTAGCTTCTTGGTACCACACTTTCGCACAAATTTTTAACAGCTCTTTGAAACTGGCAAGTGATTAAAAAAACAGTATTAAAAATCACTCTGAATGTTTAAATTATAAATGTTAATCATTTAACTTAGCAACTGATGTGTTATTAGTAACTCAAAGCAACATTTTTGAATGGGAAAGAAGCAGATTGTTCTCTTCTTGTGGGAATGACCGTTCTACCAACCAACTTTTGCTGCTTTTGTACGATAAAGTTTGATGACTAGAATGTAGAAAAGAATACATATTAGGAATTAAATTAAAATGTTCTCTTATTCTACTCTAAAATTTCAGCACAAATTCTTTATTATTATTATTATTATTTTTTAAAAAAATCCCAAGTGATTGACTATTGTACTTTGTAAATGTTGAGGACAGATGATAGAAAAAATGATTTATTAAGTTGGTTGATTTATTAAGCTGGTTGATTTGCGAAGGTCTCTTTTTTGAATTTATGTTGACTGTATGTAGCCTTAAAAATAATATTTAAATTAAGGATAACCTCTGGGAAATGGATACCTTCTCTATCATATAGCTTTCAAGAACATGGTGTACATGACATTTCTGTCTTGACTGAATTACACTACCAGAGAAAAGGATACAAAGGCAAGTGTTCCTAACTATTTTTATGATGGTTATTTAAGAACATGTTATAGGACTTTTTGCACAATGTTGCTGATTCACAAATAGCTAGCATAAAAACATAAGCACCAACCTAACAGAACATTATGTGTTATCTCCTTCTAGCCACCATATCCTGAAAAAAATCTATGCAAATCTTAATTTTGTCCTGTTTCTGGGTATGTGGACATGCTCCCCCAGTAAGGTCATGGTCTCCAGATACCCATAATTTTTATTTCATAAGAAAGCTGGTGTTTTACTTGGGAAGTATTGGAGATTATAGACATTGCTGAAGACTGACACTTTTTTTTTCTTTCTTGCCAGCTTCAATTGTTTTAATGGATTGTTTTAATGGAAACAGGTCAAATTGGAAGCTAGTAGTATATGGGGGGGGGCAGATGGACCCCTCCTGAACTTTTCCTTGGGGCACTAGGGTTAAGATACTTACATTTCCACTATATTGTCTGGTAGGTTGCCTGGAAGTTCAGTTAAGCCCTTTCCTCGACAGTCCACAATACTATTACTGCAAGTGCAAGCAGACGGGCAATTGACAGAATTGGCATTGCAGGGTGGTGGTTCAGCATGTGAACCTGAATAGGAAAAGAAAATTAAAATCATTATTTGAAATGTAGCATTGTTTATATCAAAATTTATTAGCCTGAGTGGTGCTATGGGTAGTCTAACTGATTACTACCTTTAGATGTTGTGAAAAGCTATCAAAGAGAGAAACCCTTCTTGCAAAGTTATTGTCCTTTAAATATTGTATATTTTATGTACTTGAATTACATTACAGTTTTAGCTTCAGGGTTTATTTTGTTTTCCTTCCTGCTGCTTCTTTCAATGTATTTGTTCCAGACGTGTTGCTGGAGCCAATGTGGAGAAGCTCCAATGTAGAGGAAGGAGAAAACGATGCCACAAATGATATTGTTCTATTATCAGAGATATATCAGTTGATACAATACTTAACAATGTAACAAAACAAAATCTTACATGCATTTCTATAGTGAGAACACAGGAACCATTCTCTACATATTTTTTAAGATTAATTTTAATAATCTTCCCAGAGTCTAGATTCTGTTCTTCAAAATACTTTCATGTCTGTTGAGGATTGCATTGTGTATTTTAAGAAAGGAACAAAGTGCTAATTTTTATTGAAATTAGCTAAATTTTATGTGAAATTTATACTTCATCTGGAAACAAATTAGAATCCAATATGGCCTATATCAATTGAAGTTTGCAGACTAGATCTAAAGGCAGCCTCACCTAGACACACCTGGATGAATTAGAAGAGGCATCAGTGTCCTAAAGTCATTTTAAGCCATAGCTCATGACTGTGCCTCCTGAATTAATGCTTCTTTTTTTTCCCTGGAAATGCTATTCATAAATATGAGCATTATTAGGATATTGATAACATTTAGTTCCAAATTATTTTTTAAATACAATCTCTTTTATTACTTTAGTTTCAAATTAAAATGTTTCTATACACAGTGCTAGGCTGCATTAACAGAGGGATAGAATCAAGATCACGTGAAGTGTTAATACCACTTTACAACGCCTTGATAAGGCCACACTTGGAATACTGCATTCAGTTTTGGTCACCGCGATGTAAAAAAGATGTTGAGACTCTAGAAAGAGTACAGAGAAGAGCAACAAAGATGATTAGGGGAGTGGAGGCTAAAGCATATAAGGAACGGTTGCTGGAATTGGGTATGTCTAGTTTAATGAAGAGAAGGATGAGGGGGGACATGATAGCAGTGTTCCAATATCTCAGGGGCTGCCACAAAGAAGAGGGTGTCAAGCTATTTTCCAAAGCGCCTGAAGGCAGGACAAGAAGCAACGGGTGGAAACTAAGCAAGGAGAGAAGCAACCTAGAACTAAGGAGAAACTTCCTGACAGTTAGAACAATTAACCAATGGAACAACCTGCCTCCAGAAGTGGTGAATGCTCCAACACTGGAGGTTTTTAAGAAGAGACTGGACAGCCATTTGTCCGAAATGGTATAGGGTTTCCTGCCTGAGCAGGAGGTTGGACTAGATGACCTCCAAGGTCCCTTCCAACTTTACTACTACTACTACTACTACTACTACTACTACTACTACTACTACTACTACTATTATTATTATTATATTCTATTTCTTAAAGTATAAATTATTTAAACACTATCTAATCATATTTCTAATATATATTTATAATAAAAACACAACTATACATACAGTGACATACACAAACCAACATGTTAAACTTTAAAGAAAGGATACTATTTCTTGCAAGGCTTACTTATCTAATTGTTTGTTAAAGCATTTATTTTTTTATTGCTGGGTAATACTTTTTTTGTATTGAGATGAGTACAGTTTTGTGCACACTTTTTGAAGGTTTTTTTTAAATTACTAAGGCAATACTGATTTACAAAACAAACATTCAGGAAATATCTCCCCCACACACAAGTCATTTTCCAAAAACATTGTGCATATATTATTGGAAGATAATTTCCCACATTTCTGTTGAAAAAAACATTAAAATGCATTGAAAAACAGAAGTTTGATGTATCATTAACAGATATCACTGAAACATTCTCTGAAAAAAGCAATAATAGATTGGATTAGAAAATACATTTCTATATACATATGGGGTTATGAATGGTATCAGTTGAAATATAGGCTCAGTTCCCTAAAGATACAAAACTTATACAACCTTGCCTGATATATCAAGAATGTATTTGTCTCTTGATAAAAGAAAGAGAATTACTGGGATCTTTTTACTGTATGTTTCTGAAATGTCAAGAGTTTCCACTGAGAATTCATGGCCTTGACACTTGAGATATTGTTAGCAAAAGTGTGATTGAATAGAATAGAATAGAGCTGGAAGGGACCTTGGAGGTCTGCTAGTTCAGCCCCCTGCTTAAGTGGGAGAACCTATACCATCTCAGACAAGTGACTGTCTAGCCTCTTCTTAAAAATCTCCAATGATGGAGCACCCACGATTTCTGGAGGCAAGCTGTTCCACTGGTTAATTGTCCTCCCTGTCACTCCTTAATTCTAGGTTGCTTCTCTCTTTGTTCAGTTTCCAACCATTGTTTCTCATCCTTTCCTCTGATGCTCTGGTGAATAACGTGACCCCCTCTTCCTTGTGGCAGCCCCTCAGATACTGGAACACTGCTATCATGTTTTCCCTATTTCTTCTTTTCTTTAGACTAGCCATACCCAAGTCCTGCAGCTGTTCTTCGTATGTTTTAGTCTCCAGGCCTTTGATCATCTTAGTTGCTCTTCTCTGAATTTTTTTTCCAAACTCTCAACATCTTTTTTGTGATATGGTGACCAAAACTGGCTGCAGTATTTCAGATGTGGGTCTTACTAGGGTTTTATAAAGCAGTACTAATACTTCGCGTGATCTTGATTCTATGTTTATACAACCCAGGATTGTATTAGCTTTTTTGGCTGCTGCTGCACATTGCTGGCTCATGGTTAAGTGATTGTCCACTAGGACTCCAAGGTCCCTCTCACAGTTACTGGTTTTAAGCCAGGTGTCACCCAGTCTGTACTTGTACCTTTGATTTTTCCTGCCTAAATCTAAAACTTTGCTTTTCTCCACATTGAAACTCATTTTATTGGACAGGGCCCATTGTTCAAGTTTGTCAAGATCTTTTTGGATCCTGAGTTTGTCTTGGGTGTTGGCTACTCCTGCCAGTTTAGTGTCATCTGCAAATTTGATGAGTTCCCCTTCAATTACCTCATCTAAGTCATTTATAAAGATATTGAAGAGTACTGGGCCTAAGATGAATCTTGTGGTATTCCACTGCTTATTTCTCTCCATGTGGATGTAGTGCCATTGAGGACTACTCGTTGAGTATGGTTTGCCAGTCAGCTACAGATCCATCTGGTGGTGATATTGTCTATTCCACCTTTTTCTAGCTTACCAAGGAGTAGGTTGTGGTCTACCTTGTTAAAAGTTGTCATCTCTCTTTTGATCTTTCAACATGACTTAGGATGTATTGTAAAAGAAATGAATGCAGGTACAGAAGAATGAACAGGTCCAGTCCATTAGTTATTAAAAAAAAGTTTATTTAATAAAGAATGCTAAAGCAAGAGCACCACTACAGAGAAGTTCTATGATCATGTATGGGTTTTTGCACTTCCTAGAAATATCAGAATCCTATACACCACTTTGTGTACTTTATATACATTCCTTATGCAACATGAAAATAATTCACATTTGCATAGTAAGCTGGTCCTGAACTTAAGTACCATTTCAAAATCAGTTTAAAAAATTTAAATATCACAACTGTGTTGTGCAAGGATTATATTCTACTTTCTTTTGCCACAATATGTATCCACTATGCATTAAATTGAATGCCAGAACTTTACATACATTTGCTAATTTATTCCATAAATTTGTATGCAGGTCAGACATAAAGCTCAGAAGGCATTCTCCTGAGAAATAAGAGCATATTATTTGTTAATTAGTCTTTTACATTAATATGATCTGAACATTTTAAAAAAATCCTAAGTATAGAGCCATTAACACAGTCCAACAATTCAGACAGCCTAGGAACAAATCACAGTAATTTAAAATATTATTACTCTATTTAACTGAGGCATGACTGAATTGGAATTGGCACAGAGTGCCATTTAAAAGGACCAACATTACAGTAGTTTATTTCAAGTTAATGTGAAGACTAGTATAAAATGAGAGAAGAAAGTGAAATAATGAGGTATTACCTGTACAGACATATTCTTTTTTCTGAACATCAGCTACATTAAACCCTCTCAAGTGAACAGGTGCCATGCAGAAGGTGAATTGTCCAACCGATCGCCTCTGACGCAGCCAATCCGAAAGCCATGCCAGGTGACAATCGCAGTATAAATAATTGGAATGAAGCCGCCTACAAAAGGATAGAGCAGGATTAAAGTCAGGCTTGCATTCCTCCTTATGAAAATGCCATTAAGAGCCTTTTTAAAAAAATAATCGTTCTATGTTTTGCATTGCTTTTGTGAATCAAAAAAATTGGCTATAGAACTGGAAACTGAAAATATACTGTATGGCACGTAAGTAAGTTTATTTATTCATCATGATTGAACTTTAATAACAGGAGATTTACTTTTGCTTCCTTGTTTTAAAAAAATGGATAAGTAAAGGTAGCAAAAAGACAACATTCTTAAAAGGTGACAAAAATGTTCTCTTTGTAGTGAAAACAGAGGGGCAGGCAAACGTTTGGATTCATCCTTTGTCTCACACTCTCTACCCAACCCTTCAATCTGTTCTCAGAGGCCTGGAGAACTTTTGAATTTGTATGGGAAGTGTGCAAAGAGCTGCACAAAAATTGTTGAAAATACCCTTGCCTACTTGTTCTTATCCACAGGACACCAAGTAAATGCCATCCAGATTAAGCCTTTCCCTTTTTGCATGCATAAAATTAAACAAGGATGGTTCCTATGTTGTAACAACTCCTTACTTACAGAATATAAATGACATTTTGATATTGGAGCCCTTTTGTCTTGTAAAGCTGCACTCATTTTGTCACACTGTCTAGAAAAAAGTTCCATTATAAAAAACAAAGTAGCCTGAAAGTGCAAATAAACTATCAAATATTTCATTTCTACTTCTATGAGTCACGACAGGCAGGCATTAAAAGCACAGTTCCCATGACAATGCTGCCATTTCTGTTGGACAGGGTTAAACAAAGCCATCATTCTGACAGACTAACATTACATAGAACGCTGACAAACATAAAGTGCTGTAAAACATAGCCAGATCCATCCACAAAATAAATTAATCATTTCAAAGATCTTTATGCCAGGCCACTGCTGTTGAGTTCAGCAGCGGTGCCTAAACTGACAGTCTCCAGATTTGTATGTTTGCTGATGGCTTGCAGGCACATTTTTTTCCTGGGAAGTTTCTAAAATTTATGTCCTTGCTAGGCTCAATAAAGTCTGAGGCTCCTGACTGGCAGGGCAAAGTATGTTAGCTATCTAGCTGTAAAAATTTCAAGTTTGACTTTTCTAAATCTCTTCATTGTCATCTAATAATTATCCATAATACTGAAGCTCAAATAGTACTCCCACTATAAAAAGCATATATATCTATTTATTAAAGACCAGGCAAGGTCTAGAGACACTGAACACATTTATCTGGCACATCTCTAGGTGTATAAAACTAGTTTCAATTTTAAAAAAATATATCATTTTTATTTTTCAATGCTCAGTACCCAGGGCTGCAATTTGGGTTTTAAGCCATATTATTTCTGTTGGAATTCTGCAACATATTGAGTGCATTTAGAAATTTTCCCTTGAGACAAACCAGTGGAAAACAATCTGTCAAGCTTTAACCATCTTATAGAAATATAAAACTATAATAAGGAGCAACTGGAAAAGAAGTCTCCAATACATGGCATGTGTACTAGAATTGTTTGGGTTTCTTTTAATCATCACAAGAGGACAGCCTAATACCTCTGCAGTCATTAATTGCGGCAAATACAACAGGGAAGTCAATATTAATAAAATGAGACAAAATGAATGCAGGTTAATAAATTCTATAAATATAGCTTTCTAATGGAAATGAAAGCAGATCAATGCACAACAATTCTTATTAGTTCTAAATGAGGATGTTTAAACAAATCCATAAAACAAACAAACAAAAAGAAATTAGGAAAGGCACAGAATAATAGATTAATCATAGCAAGACACATGTATTAA